ATCTATCATAAGACTCCATCAAATAAAAAAACAAATCATCTAAGTCTATTCTTAGATATTTTATCGGAGAAAAATACAACTATCACTATTCTTCTTATTTAGATTTTATATTTTTTCTGTATTTTGCCTTCCAAAAATGCTACAATTACTATTGCTTGTTGACCTCATTTTTGAAACAAAATCATGACCGTCGTCGTCTTGTTTTGAAGTCGAGTCGAGTTAAACCAAATTGACGATTTTCAAACTCATCAAATAAATTTAAATTAGTTTCAATTGAATGAAAGTGCCTGTTCAAGAGCCAAATAAAATTAATTTGAACAGAAATTAAATTAATCTAAATCAAATTGAATTATATCAACCCAAGGCAACCTGAGTCAATTCATTTTGAATCGATTAAACTGAATAGAATTGATATATCATCAAAAAAAATCTTGATCGGGAGAAAATCTCGTGGCAAAAGTGAGTTGAAAACTTCCAAAATTAAATTATCGACCATCCAAACTCCGATTTCAGTAAACTTATTGACGAATTGAACGCCTTCGAAAGCGAACCCAACGACACCAAATTCGGCCCAATTAGAGCCTAAATGAGTCCAAATGAAAGACTCAAAGCATATTTAGAATGTTCAAACCATAAATTGAATGACCAAATGATCCCTAAATGTGATGTGTTTTAGTTGAATTGAGCAGCTTGACAAGATGAATCCAATGAGCCCAACATCAGCAAATTTTGATATCATTAAGATACTCAAATACTCAATAAACGGTACACAATCAAGGGAGACAATATCGGACGTCCAATCAAAACACTCCCAACTTCCGTGTAATCTTCTCTCTATTTACTGAACATGTTATTCTTAAAAAATTATAAAGAACCCCTCATTCTTTACATGAAAAGGAATCAAGCAAGGTGGGGGAAAGAGAGGAAATGAAAGAAGAGACGAGAGGAAGAAAAATATGACATCTCATTTGCCACCAAGCTCCTCAACCACCGACTGTTGCCAAACTTTCATTGGACTTTTCGCTCGGCTACTGCTTGTCATCGGATTTCAAGCTGACCATCGTCGCCAACTACAATCTTTTTTATCATCATCGCCCACCGACTATGATCCTTACAACCTACGTTGTCAGATAACGGTCCTTCTGACATCTTTAGCCCAATTACAATCTTTTCGACCACCGTCGCCCACCGACTTAGGACTCTCGGACATCCGTCGCCCGTCGACTACAGTCGCTTCAACTACCAATCTAGAGAAGCGACTGTCACCCGACTACGATTCTCCTGACCACTGTTACCCAACTATGACCTTTATGACCTCCGTCTCCCGCCGACTACAACCCTTTTGATTACAGTCACCTGACTACTATCCTTCTGACAACTGTCACCAACTACGGTCTTTTTAATCTCCGTCGCTCGACTATGATCCTTCTAACTACCGTCACCTGACTTCAGTCCTTCGGACTTACATCACTCACTAACTATGGTTCTACCAACCAAACAAACATGTCAACATGGATACTTCCAACCCCCACCATGTACTAAACTCTATATGATATATATTTGTTACATCGAGCCAAAACATTCCCTCAAGGAGGAGCCTTATTTGTAATCAACTAGAAACACTTGTGGATTCATTTTCCTCATTTTTAGGGATTTTCACTTAAAAACTTTAGTGTCCCTTATGAATGTTACACCCCTATTATTTTATCTGTATGTATGTTGATCTTCTTATAAAACTAAGATGTTAATTTTTATATTTATTTACCGCCGTGAATACTCCAAGGACGCATCAAGAACTATAATATATTCAAAGTCCAATTCAATCAAACTAAATTAGTTTCAATTTAAATATAATTGAAGCAAGTTTTACTGAGTTCCAACTCAAAATAAAAACATTTCGAGCCAATTTAAATCAAGTTGAGTTACATTGGACTCAAATCTGATTCGATTTTAGCTTGATCAGTTTCTTTGAAGTTTAAAGTTTTAATCCCTTCCAAATCAAGTTAAATTCATCCAACGGTTGAGATCGCTGTAGTAGCTACAGTGTATTTTCCCGCATTTACCTGTTGTAGGCAACGGCAGCGAGATATTAAGGCCAGTAAGGCCAGCAAGCTCTCTCCTTAGCCATTGGATCAGATTTCCTCAAGGACATGATGGGCATTTGGCGTGCGACAAGCCTGGAACCGAGACTGCGAAGGTTTTTTTTTTTTAGAAAAATTATTCTGTGCGAGTCCACACCCTCATGAAAATGTGGCATGTCTGGTACAGAGCTTATACCGAGCGGTACTCGGTATCACTCGGTACTTGAGCGTAAACCGGAGGGTTCTCCCGTCCGGTGTCGGCACAGAATAATCTCTCATTTGAGAGTTCTTTTGGTCTTCGTCTTCTTTCAATCAAGTAGGAGTGTAAGTGAGTCAAACTAGCTCGCGAGCTGGTTCAAGGTCAACTAGTTGATGGGCTGTGAGCCAAATTTATCTAGCTCATGAGCTGAGCTCGAGCCCAAACTCGAGCTTGATTGAGGCTAGGCTCGCGAACCAATGAGCTGGCTCGATTCACTATTTATATTTTTAAAATACTTTTATTTTATTAATTGTAAATGTTGTAATCTTTCGGTATAATCCCCCCTAATAATTAGTACTAAACGTTTTAATATTCCCGCCTAATCTAATCCCACTTGAATTCAAGGCGGCTCGTGTGGCTCGAGGCGGTCGCGTCTGTACGTGTCACGTGCCGATGGGACAAGCACGGATGGCTCACACGGTAGAACGGCAGGCGAATTCAACGGTTGCAGTTCCGGTTGCAGACAGTCGAACGACGGCCAAATTTGAGCTCACGACGCATATGACTTGCTCGGACACATAGGCGGATGACTTGCTCATACAGCGAGGAGCGAGGCTCGCGAGCCAACTCGAGCTCATTTATAGTGGGACGAGCTCGAATTCGAGCTCGCTTTCCGACTGACGTGTTGAGCTCCATAGTGTCAAAACTTGACTAGACTAGACCCCTTCACACACATACAGTCAGGAGAGCGGCCTAAGCGAGCGAGCATCAACGAACGATAAATGAGTAAGAGGTAGTCAACCGTGCGAACTGCCAGGGGCGGGCGTCTGGTTCCTCTATTTGGCTTGTCGAAAGCAGAGAAGTGAGGTTCATCTTCCTGTTTGAGATTGAAGCAGAACAAAAGTTTGGAGTTCGTCTCTCTCTTGGTAATCAAAGGAAGTTTCTTCTCTCTCTGAAAGTACAAACCAAAGCTAGCTCAATCTTTTCTTCGAATCAAAATGGTTATATTCGTTTTCTGGAGATTAAAATCTTATTAGAACTTTATTTCTCTTTCACAAAAAAATTCAAAGATGATAATTTCTGTAGGATTTTCTCCCCTCTGCAGTTGAGAGCAGCAAGCTGTCTTCATTCATTCTTATTTAGGAAAATAAGAATGACGATTTAGAACTCATTTCCCCTGTTTTTCTTATCTTAAGAGTTAGATGGTGGCTGATCATAGCCCTCCATTGAGTACCAATATCCACACCCTCCCATCCATCTACCCACTCATATCCAATGGGTGTGGATAGGTATGGATACGTCCATGATCTTGTGGGTGGGTATGGGTGAGTACTGAACATCGGGGGATAAAATTATTTACATTGCTAATCACCGTATATATTATATTAATGCAATCCTCACTAAGTAGTATGCAACACTTAACCACATTACGACTACGATAAATTTTGTTATGCAGCTTGAAAGTTTGCAATCATAGCAAAGAACAACAAACCTCAAGGCCATCAATATTTGACAGACTGCTTTTAAAAAAAATGGAAAGTTGGTGGGTATAGGTGGGTATGGCATATCGAAAGTCACCATGGGTGGGTGTGGGTGGGCAAAGCCCGTCCGAGTAAAGCATGGGTATCCAATGAGTACCCAATCAGTACCCCATATAGGACTTTGTGGCTGATGTAATCAATCTTCTTCTACTAGAGACAGCCATCCATTACTTTCTTTCACTTTAGATTTAAATGAATAATGGCTAGATGGCAATGGGCATTGCTCTCCTCTCATGTTAATATCTTCTTTTATTGTCTATATGACTTCAAATATATAATTTTCAGATAGTTAATGATCTGATATAGCTTTGATATTCAACCATAACTTTGCCCGCATACATATATTGTAGTACCTTATTTGATATTTGATAACAAGGCTTAGGCAATCTTCAATATTTTTCAATATAAAATACAAGAACACTCCAAAATACAATAATTAATCTTCAACAGAACTTCATTTCTTAACATGAAAAAAGAATATTTTATCATAAAATATAATTTTAATTTTAAAAAATAAAGTTATAAATTATTACTTTTTAAAAATAAATAATAAAGAATCTATACTTAATAGCCAAATTTTCTACATTATAAAATTTATATTAGTAAACAGTAAGATGACAATATCGGTGCTGCAGTGTTCAACTCGCAAAATTGCCACGGTATTTCGCATTCAATTAGAGCTGGCAGCGAACAGCATAGATACATAGCATAGAGTCTAAGGCTTCTTTTGAGACAACTTTCTTACTTCTGCTTCAAATAGCATTTTAACTAAAATGTTGCTTTAAGAAGTAATTAAAAAAACGTCCCAAACAAAATCTTATTTTAGATATAACCACTTTCCATTGTGCAAACATGCAAGCCGGGCTTACATGAAACAACAGCCTAAAAGATAAGAGAATCGGCTATTGAAAAGAAAGAAATCTCATTGATTGCAAAGTAACGTTCCTTTTTAATCTCACTTTGTTAGTTATTTAGTAATAAGTTCTGTTAAAATTCTTATCATTATGAGCATGTTCAATGAATCATGTAGGTGAAACAAATATAAACAAATTCTATCATAAAAGTTCATCATGTAGTATTGATATTAAGAGATAGTTTAGAATATTTCTCCATTACTAATTCAAACTATACAAGAATTTGTTATTAAGAACGTGATAGGCAAGCAAGAGAAGAAACAGATTGGAAAAACGATTATGATTGAGGAGCATAGATGAAACATTAGTTCAACAAAGGAATAAGCCATTTCCAAACAAGACATCGTAATCAAGTCTACACTAAGCCAACTTGTTCAACAGTAAGCACAAGAAGCTTAATACAAACTGAAAACTAGAAAAATACACAAAATTCTCAAATCTGTTCACCTTCGAATAAAGCTAAACGAAACTAGTTCAGCAACAAAATAAGACCTTCCACAGATAACTTCAGATTATACCAATTTTGTTCGCAACATCAAGGGCATCGTAATCCGGAGTCAGCCTCACATAAGCTTTCTTCGTCCCATCAGGCCTGTAGAATAGAAATAAAATGAAATTTGCATATATTGAATTGTAAAACAAAATTGCTCTAATTGCTACAGAGAATGACAAGCAAGGCCGCTAACCTGATCAGAGTGTTAACTTTCTTTGTCTGAATGTCATACATCTTCTTGACAGCAGCCTTGATCTTCTTCTTGTCTGCTCGAATGTCAACAATGAAGACAAGAGTGTTGTTGTCTTCAATCTTCTTCATGGCGGATTCTGTTGTTAGCGGATACTTGAGGATTTGATAATGGTCTAGTTTGTTTCTGGGAGGAGCGCTGATTCTGGGATACTTTGGCTCCCCAGGCTTCTTCTGTGTCTTTGGACGGTGAAAAGTCACAGAAGTTCGAATCTTTTTGGTTTTTTTCTTAATAGATGAAGCCCCTGACTTCACTGCCTTCGCGGTCTTAACAGCTTGAGCCTTGGCATCAGTCTTTTTGGATGCAGCTGATTACAGATAAATGCTAGAAATGAGCGAGCATCAATAGAAGAAGCTAAAAAAATATTCAGAACTCCACAGAATATATATATGACCAGCATTTTAGATTGAATATAGATTTTTTTTTTCTAATAGGGTTTTGAATTTAGGTTGAGTCTCCAGATGTACAACACATGTAACCAAATATGATAATTTTCAGCATCAAATATAAGAGAATGAAAAATCCATTGCTCAATAGGATAATTCATTTCCCAATTTTCCCATGCAAAATACAAACACGAGAATGCATATAAATTTAACATATTAAATAATGTGTAGCATGATAAACGCCTTGTTTTAAAGCTTGCTGACTTGCCTTGTCAAACAAAAAGTTGCAATTTTAACAGTAATACATGTAAGTAATGTGTGTATTAGTTCATGGTTCTATGAAAGTAAATGAGAAGACACTTGCCACGAAAAGTAAATCCTTTTCTAAGTATCATATCGCCGAGAATCAATACCAAAAGTTATGTCAATAAGACTAAAATAAAAGAACAAGCAGATGCATCTTTTCCTTTGTTAGCAAAAACTGATTCTTCCTTGCTACTTATTAAATCCATCAGAATTATAGACATCATTTTGCTAGCGTGGAACTTCTGAAACACTTGTCAATCCAAAGTTTATATAGTTAATGTATCCCTTTATACACAACAAAAAACAAATTCCAATAATTTGTATCAAAGTACTGTGAACTGAGATTATGTGGGTTTCAGCCAAACATGAAAGGTTGATTAAACATGTCTAGCCACACCAAGAAAAATGAACTAATGTTTCTTTACAGGCTATGCTTCTAGTCACACTCCTAGGAATGTTTCTAGTAAAAGAGGTGAAAGCAATGAGGAGATGAGCAAATATGTGATTGGTTGGTGCTTGGTAGCACTAAACCACCAATAAAGACGCTACAACTTTGCTCCAGTTGACTCAGCTTATTCATATAAGCAGAAGAGTTCAAGCCCTGATTTTGAGAGGGAAATTTGAATGTAGGGACTTTTTAGGGATTTCCTTTTGATTTGTATGCATTAAATAGTTGGTTTTCTTGGGGTTTGATCATCTTGAATTTGGCTGAAATTTGAGATCTCTTAGATTTAGGTTTTCTTTGGGCTCTAGCGGCGTCTAGAGATTTGGGAGAGATCGATCCTCCTCTCGAATTGAGGATCAATTGTATCTTTTCTATTTTCTTTGATTTCTAGTGAAATACAAGCGAAATCTTGTGTTTTTCTCCTCATTTTCCAATTTCCTGCTGCGTTTTCCCTGTTTTTCTGCTGTTTTGCTGCTGTGGACAGCAGTTGGCTGCTGTAATTTTACGGGTTTGGGATAGAAACACTTGCGAATCCAAGTGTTTCCTATCAGCTTCTAGTCACACTCCTAGGAATAATTCTAGTAAATTAGGTAAAAGCAATGAGGAGATGAGCAAATATGTGATTGGTAGCACTAACCCAATGAGGACCCTACAACTATGCTCCAGTTGACTCAGCTTATTTATATAAGTAGAATAGTTCAAGCCCTATTTTCATCATCCCGGCATATTTTTCCGATTCAAACAACCCTTACAGTATCACAATCTTTACGAAAGTGATTCAAACAGCTCTTGTGGTTATCATTCATTCCGCTAAATACTATTACATCCAGATGCTTTTATAAATAAGTTCTTCAAGATGTTTGCGAAATGTAAACAGAAACAAAGGCTAAGCAGGCTAATTTAGCATTGCAGAACTTTACCCTTTTATAATGAAGAATTGCAGATTAAGAGAATTAGACAAAGGATAAATATCTTAAATCACAATATTAGATTAAGGCAATGGAAGCATCAAAACAGTTGGCTCCTCATACCTTTGGTGGGGGGTGCCATCAGGAACAACGCAGTAAACCACAAACAAGTTACTTGCCTGCATTAAAAGTATAAACAAAATACATGAGCTGCACTCTTAGTTAAACAAGAAAACCCATCATGAATCACAATGCTCTACTTATAATGGACATGTATTCATATAAGAAGCAGAATACTCATTCATACTACTCCACTAATCCCAAATGCTTGACTCACACATCAACATCTAAAATTATCATAAACTGACCTACTCTATAACAGGAAAGGAAGGACTACACCAAGGGAATAGAATTGTTAACTATATCATTGAACATGTCATTAATTGTTCATTGATTCATTACCTTCAACTCTCCAAAATTCACATCATATGTGAACATGCCTGGCTCAAGTATTCATTGGATGAATTTCAAGTAAAACACCTACAACTAGCCACACTATTTTTATAACAATAAATCATCTCTCCAATTTTGTATAAATCTAGTTTATTATGAGCGTTCCAAAAATATAGATTGACCACCACATCATTTGTGAACAAATTCTTTCACGTGTTATTGTCACCATAATTGTTTGATCCACCTACCAGTTTACCAGATTTGACCATTAAGCCACTCGATTTAGTCAATTCATTCTCTTCGCATAAGGTTTGCTGTTCTAGGTAGAGGAACACCAATTTGAGGAAGGCATTATAGCAAACGAAAAGATCATCCCAACACAGATCTACCAACATCAAGAAAACAAAAGAAAAATGGATTGTAGGGCATATAAGAAAAGCAGAATCACATCCAGCTTAAAAAGAAACTGCAAGATCATTAAAAAAAGAAAAAAAGAACGAATAAAAACTGTAAAGAATACATCTAGAGCTTGATGATATATAAAAGAAAGTAAATTTTTGGCTTTTGAGAGATGCAAGGAATACAGTTACCGATGATTTTCGCCGAGTAGCCTCACTGCCGCCGAAGAGATGGAGGCGGAATGAACGAAAACAATTAGGGTTTCGGGAAATTATTTGTAAGGCATAAAATTAATCTTGACGGTCCAACTGATTCGACTCGGATTGATACAAGCTTTTGTGTAGAGCAAGGCCCGGCCCATCTCGGCCTTTTTCCAAACCCATTAGAGCTTGTACGCAGACGCATCAAGTCGTCTTCATTCTAGTAGGGATCCAAACAAAATAATTGGTCGTTCACTAAATGGGCCAAAATTGGACCGTGCATTTTAACCATTGTATCAAAGGGTCTTAATTGAGTTAATCCATCAAATTTGATTTTGATCTATTTAATAATTTTTTTATTATTTATTTATTGATATATATGTCTTTTTATTTTCAATCAATTAACCTAAAAAATTATGATTAATAAACTAGTAAAAATATTTTTAATTAAAATGGATCATCCGATAGGTTCAATTTGCTAGCGGGTTGGGTTTGAATTTAATTCTTGGCCCATTTATTAGATTGCTCGGCTAGAGTTGATCAGATTAGTATCAATTCAATTTTGGGTTGAACCCGAATCCTACCCGTTAAACCGTTTTGACACCACTTAGAATTTGACAAATATTAAAAAAAAAAAAATCAGTGCTCAACATATATAATTAGAAAAGCCATTTTCTTATCGCAAAAGTTCTTTTAAGTTATATCAGAAAAATATTAACCAAACAAAAATGCGAGAGCATTATTAAATAGCGAAAATGTTGGCCTAAACAAATCCTTCAAAGTAGAGCCACTAATGTTAGGCTTCATTTGAAATAGCTTTTTTTACTATTTCTTAAATTAGAATTTCAATATAAAATTTTTAATTTTTGCAGTAAAATAATACTTTAAAAAGCAGTAAAATTTTTATCTCAAATGAAATCTTAATCAAATTTAAAATTTATTTATTTTTCGATTGAATTTTAGTTATTTACTAGTTAAATTTTAGTTATTTACGCCATCAACAAAATTAATTAGTATTAAATTATAATTATCGCAAACAAAACTTTTAAATTTACTTATTTTCGAAAACTTAGTAGTTTTGAACCTCAATAGTAGCAAAAAACTCCATTTTAAATTCAAGAAATATTTACCTAAGATCATCTGCAACCGAACCGTAGTATATACCGTCCGTCAAACAATCAAATCGAAAGTGAAATTGTCCGCTAATCTCCGAGAGTACTGATGTTCACCTACACCAAAAAAATAGCTAATGGGATTGGCCGAAGAAGCATGCGAAGGAGGAGAAAGACAGTTACTTCGCAGCGAGAAGAACAAGCGTGTGAAAGATGAGAAGAAATGGAGTTTGATTTAAGGCGCATTAATTCATTTTAGAGTTTTACTATATTTTGCAGTGAAAATTGGGGTTTTCCGTTGAAGATGCCCTAACTTATAATCACATCGATATTAAATACATGAAATGCACTATTCATAAGAGCTGATAATACAAGAGATGAACTGAAAAATAAAATATAATAAAAGATATGCAGATTTTACAGAATGAATGGAAAAGAACTATGCAAAGGATTGATGGAATGGCTACAATCTGAGCCAATAATCAACTCTATCAGGTTCTCTGTTTTACAACTCCCTTCTTATCAACGTTTTTAAAACCGGACCGGACCGGCCGGTTGAACCGGTTGAACCGGCACCCGGCCGGCCGACCGATTCGGTTGTCTGGCGAAACCGGATTATCATCGGACCGGATTTGAACCGGTCCGACCGGCAGTTGGACCGCGAACCCGGCGAACCGGAACCGGGAGCGAACCGGCCATCTCTGATTTCCACCGTCTGATTGAATCATACGGTTTAAACTTTAAAAGTTAAAACTTAAAACAGTAAAACATTTACCTAAACCTAAATTCATTTTCTACTCCCGTAACTCCCGAAGCCGCCCCCGTCTCCGATTTTTCCTTCGTCTGATCGCTGCAACTCCTCCATCCGTTCGTCGCCGGTCGCCGATCACTGCAGCTCCTCCTTCGCCGTTCGTCGTTGCAGCTCCTTCGTCCGTGCTTGGATCGTTGACGAACTGGCCAACCCGGTTAATCGACGCTGCAACTCCTCGATCGTCGCTGGTCGTCGATGCTTGAAACATTGTTAGGTGAGGAGATTGTATATGCTGAACTTGTGTTTTACACTTTTACTCTTACCTGTGCAAACTGAGAACTGAAAACCGAAAAATGGGAGTTTTTAATCGGGCTTGTGAATTAAGCTGCCGGCTTAGTCTAATTAACAACTTAGAATTGGACTAATTACCTAAATTCTTACACTTACATAATCTCTAAATTTTAGTGAATTGAATTTTAAAGTTTAGGGTCAATTTTTACTTGAACCTTTAGAACATAACTCATACACAAGTTAGAATTAGGTTTTGATTTTTTTGTTGTTTTTGTATATTAGTGAAAGGTTTGGAATGCAACTAATTTTTCCCTAATAAAGCAGCTGATTTTCCTAATTAAATCTCCAAAGCTATTGATATGTTTACCTTTGTGGAACAATTTTGAAACCTAGGAAGACCTTGATTGCTTTAATTTTGGTGGGTTTCAAACAAATATTGTGGTGAACTTGTGTTTCAAATTTTACTAGATTTATAGGTCATTTAGTCTATCAATTAGTGAACCCTAGATTGATGTACATAATTGACCTAGAAACTTAAAAAAACCATAATAAATACATATTAAATAAAAAAAATAAACCCTAGATTTGAAAACTAGTTTTTAATCGTCGCTGGCTAGTTTTTATTCATTTAGTTAATCGTCGTTGGCTTGTGATTGAACAACAACCCAACTTCCTTTTTGCAAGGAGATCATCTTAAGATTGGCTTTCTCATGTATAGCAATATTTAATGAAAAGGTTATCTCAATTATAGTCATCAATTTGCTCTCCTTCCTATCCTATAGAATTCAACAAAACATGGTGATTATATCATTATATGGCCATTTTCTATGTGTTTAGTTTGATAATATATTGTTGTTTAATATTAACAACATAGAGTTCACTTTTCAGGCTAATATTGATCCATTGTTGTTTAATACTACCAATGGATCAACAAAACAATCAATCTGCACATTCAACTCAAAGCGTTCGTGAGAAAGTAGATATCGCTTGGAACCATTTTACTGAGTGTAAAACCACTGATGGTAAGAAGCAATATAAATGTCTTCATTGTGGAATAATTTATAAGGGAGGAGGCATTCATAGGATGAAGCAACATCTAGCGGGGATTAAAGGGAACATTGCTTCTTGTAAGAAGGTGCCACATGACATACGATATCAAATGCAACAGAATTTGAATGAGATATCAAAGAAAAAACAACAAGCACAACAAGACTTGTCGCAGATTGATGATTTACTTGGTGAAGATCCAGTTGAAGAAGAGAGGGGCTCATGTTCAGTCACGAAACCACAAAGTTCAGATATACATGGTAAAGGATTGGATAAGGGAAAGAGAAAAATTGATGAAATTGATAATTTTTTGCACCTAGAACAAAACCGGGATCTCAACCTTCCTTAAAAAGTGTGATGGCATCTAAGGAGGCAGTGCATCGTGCAGATTTAGCAATTGCTAGATGGTTTTATGATAGTTGCATTCCATTCAATGCCATCAACTCACCTTTTGCACAAAAGGCTATAGATGCAGTTGCTGCAATAGGACCTGGATACAAATTACCGTCTTATCACAGATTAAGAGTGAATCTGTTACGGGATGCGAAAGAGGAATGTAAATTGCTAATTGAATCTTATAGAAAAACATGGAAAGACACTGGTTGTTCATTGATGGCTGACGGGTGGACAGATACAAGAAATAGGACATTAATAAATTTTCTTGTTTATTGTCCTCGAGGAGTTTCATTTTTAAAATCAGTAGATGCATCTGATGTCATCAAAGATGCCACAACATTGTGCTCATTATTTACTGATATCGTTGAATGGGTTGGTCCGGAGAATATAGTTCATTTTATAACAGATAATGCAGCAAATTATAAGAAAGCTGGTGAGTTATTGCATGAAAAATATGGAAATATCTATTGGTCACCTTGTGCAGCTCATTGCATTAATCTCATTCTGAAAGATATTGGAAGCATG